GAATGGAAGTAAAACGTGGCTTGTGGGTTATTTATTTGCTGAATTACAACCTCAAGCCAGACAATGCTGGGGAAGAAACAGGGGAAAACTCTGAAAACTGGGCAAGCACTGAATGCACCATTGAAGAAATAACAGAGCCAGAGCTATGGCAACTCCTACCACCGGCAGCCCCGTGCCCTGGACCAAAGATCCCCCGGGGGCGGCCGCCCTCTAGCAGGTTCGATGGGAAGAGCCTGACCCCCCCTCAGGGCAGCTTCACCAGCCTCCCGCTCACGGGGCTCCCGTCGCATCTCTGGGGGTTGTTACGTGTCCAGGCAGAAGGGCAGGGACGAGCGATACTGGGCTCGTTTTTCCCCAGCCCATTTGATTTGGAAGAGGCTCCTCTCCAGTTCACTGCACAAAGTATTCTGGCTTCAGCTTCCTTTCTGCTTGGCACAGGATCAGACCGTATTTAGCGGAAATCCAGTTCTTCTATAGAAACTGCATCTTAATAAACTGCATCTTACTTCTCTTTCTTGCCCATGTTCCAAGGTAGAGAGTGCTACATGGCTTCCAGGCCATTCCCGCATGAACATTACTTTTCATCTGGACACATTTCAACTCTCAAAACCACATGCACTATGAAAAAAGGCAGGGGGGAAGCACAGAAAACAGGCTAAGTTGTCTTCCCATATTATATTCAGTTAATAATCATAAGCAGTTTTTCAGAGAAGGCCTCTAGGCAGAGTTTTAACATTAAAGCAATTCTTGGTCCTGTTCAACCATTCATCGAGGCAGAGCTGATAGCCCAGCTCATTAAAAATTACAAGACACAGTTTCAAGAACTGCCAGTTTCTGGGGCAGAGTTTGGGCTCCGCACAGTGCTGCGGGTGCACAGCTCCGTGCTGAAGCTCCCAGCTTTGGGGCTCACCAAGGCACCCTGCGAGGCCTCCTGCCACCCAATGCACAACACTTTTGGCACCCAGGAAGATTACGTAGATGGAGAAAAAAAAGTATGAATCCCACCCAATTTCTGCTTGAAGTTAAGTGCTCACACCCACATACTGGGTATAAAACTCAAGAGATAGAAGACAGCAGGAGAGGCAGCTCCGTGATCACACTCTTTACCTTGCACGTGGGCAAAGAACATTCCAACTTTTATTAGAAATAAGGACATGAGCCCAGAATGGGGGAGAGCTCAGCCCTCCCAGGGGAGAGGAATGGTCCCTCCGTGCTGTTGGATATTGGCTGCTGGCACCAGCAGACACCGACTTGATGGGACTTTGCACAAAAGAGAGATGCAGAGTGCACCCCCGGTCTGTATGGGCTCCGCAAGCATCATACCACTCTGCTCAACGCTCATGTTCCTTTATGGAACCTTCCTTTATGTTCCTTCCTAGGAGAGAACCTCATTTGTAAAATAAGGCCCACTGGAAGGAGATTAAAAATAAAAAATACTTAGCAACCTCTTTGCATGTTATCAAGCAGTCCATACATATGTCGGATGAGAACCGTAGAAGATGATGATGCATTAAACAATTCTGTTTAAAGCCCCTAAGCCTACTTATGATTAATTTGAGACATACAGATATCTAGAGCTTGCTTAGTTCAAGAATCCTCTGCCTTCAAAATGGCCATTCAGCAGCCCAGCCAGATACTTTTTCACAATACTACAGACTCGCTTATTCATAAACAAATCATTAACATTCTTGACATAAATCCATAGTGTACAACAAATCCCAGCTATGATAATGTTTTACTACATTTGCTGTGCCCATCATGAATGGGAGTTCTGTTCTCACAGAAAAACATCCTTGACAAATAAAAGGCAAGTTATTCTCTGCGAGAAAACTGCCGGTATGAAACATTTATGCACAAATTACAAACTAATTATCATATAGCAATAAACCTTGTTTTCAGTTAGTGAAACTAATATTTTCTTGCATAAATTGTGAGAGTTGATTATTAAGGGTCCTTGCAAGAAAAACACTAAAATACTGATAGTTACGTAAAGCATTAGAGTCTGTCTTAATTTTCTCAGCTACAAGGAGAACCTTTTACACATTCCTGTTTCTCCAAACCAGAAAACTCATTTGAAAACATTTTTCTAAACCTTTTGGCATCTTGTCCTTTGCACAGATTTACAGTTCTGCATTACAGGTTTTCAGCCAAAACCTGCAATGATTAAGACCCGTTTTTACACACACATCAAAGCTTCAATTAGATCAATTAAAGCAAACGGAACATTAATTGCATTGCATTACATTAACGGAACATTACATTAGCACGTCAAGGGCAGGTTACCTATTCTCGATCAATCTACTCTGCGCCTGTGCCGGTGCCCAGCAGCAATTTGAACAAGGATTTCCCATAAAAGGGTCAGCAGGTAACACCCTTTAGCACAGGGGCACCGTCACCAGCAGCTGCTCGGGGACAAGCAAGGCTACGAGCCGCAGCATCTCCTGCAGCGCATCCCGGCCGGCTAAACAGCATCCAGCCACCAGCAACGCGGGGGAAATCAGACACTGAAATCCTCGTTATTTCCCTTAATCTGCTCCCCTTGCTCAGAGAGGCCCCGCACTGGCCATGTTCAAAGCATTAAAAGAGAAAGAGTAGAAGATAGTTAAACTTTCTGCCGATGCTCTTGGCAGATCAGGAATCGGCTCGAAAGGAACTGCATTTCTCAGCGGGCTGATAAACACGATACAGAGAATTTTCTATGCTGGTTGCCAGCTCGACCCAATAAATGAAAGATGTTTTCAATTTGGGAAAACATGCATGTGCACTGAAACATTTAATATTTAGCAAAAACCAAATGCTGCTATCTTCAATGCAGTCCTGCAAGAAATTAGGCCCTCACTTAACGTCCAGGGAAGCAGCCTGCTGGCAGTCGTGATTGCTCACAGCACATAGGAGCAAGCACGTGGCTAAAGCTTTGCAGAAATTAGATCTTTGTTGTTTCTATAAAAGTGTGCATGTATTTATAATTAACTTAAAGGATTTATTAGGGGCATGCCCTCTCTTTTTATTATTTTGATTGACATGGCTTTCCCCTTTACAGCTATTTCCATTTCCAGTTATGTGAGAATTTAACTGCAGCGTACACATCGCAGCACGTGGCTGTACATAGCATGAAGAACTTGAGGTCTTCAGGCACGAACCAAGTGCCATCCCGTAGCTCACGAAGGCAGATTAACTAGATGTATTTGTGGGTTTTGCTATGCACTCAGCCACCTAAAGCACTTCATGCCTATCCTTGGCAAAGGACACAGCTACCAAACAAGTACGGGCACCATCCTGTCTGCCCTTGGCATCACTGAGGTCACATCTGTGGCACGTTCTGCTTCACTCTGGAGCACCCTGCGCTGTAACAGACCTGTTTGTGCCAAAACCAGGCAGGGCTGAGAGACTCCAAGGAATGATGATAAATTTGGGA